TTCATAACCTGTATATAATTATACTTACAGCTAAAACATATTAAAAGAAATACTGTACATTTGTAATATAATATACTGTATACAATACTATACATTTATATTTCATGCTAAGCACTTCTGGATGGACGCAAACTGCATTTCACTGCCTTGTACCTGCGACATGTGCAATGACAATAAAGTTCTATTCTATTCTAAATGGTTTCTCTTTTGAGGGGAAATAAACACGGAGCAATCTGCAAACAAATCTATACATTTATATTTCATGCTAAGCACTTCTGGATGGATGCAAACTGCATTTCACTGCCTTGTACCTGCGACGTGCAATGACAATAAAGTTCTATTCTATTCTATTCTATTCTAAATGGTTTCTCTTTTGAGGGGAAATAAACACGGAGCAATCTGCAAACAAATATCTACATTTATATTTCTACACAAAGAAACATGAATAAAGCCTGGACCTGAAGGCTTGTTTGAAGGAAAATAAATAAATTAATTTTGCAGACGGTGTCGSAGCCCTGGCAGGAGGAAATCTCTGTGGATTTTCTGCTTTTTTAAGAAACTCAGAAAAGTGAATTATTTGAAGCTAACTGGTTAAAAGCTCTTTTTAATTTGCGTCAATAATTAAAAACCTGCTGAATCTTTGTTGCAGACGATTAACGGGAAGGAGGGCCGCAGCCTCTTTACGGGGGTCTCGTCTCGGGCCACGAGCGGTCACCACCCCCCCACTTTAAAACCAAACAAAGAGACCTCAGCTCTCCCTGCTCGACGCGTGGGAGGCATGGCCTCCGCCGCCCGCCACGAGGACACGTGAGGTTCTTTCCAAACGTCCTTTTATCATTTGCCTCCACTTTAAACAGAACGGTGTTGTTTCCACTCCCTGTGAGGAGCGGTTACAGGCTGCCATGTTGGCACAACGTTTCAAACGCTGGCTCACGAGGAGAGCTTGTTTCTGTTTGTGGATGTAAACCGTGACTCAGCGGCCGGTGTTTACGACAGCCCGATTGAGCCGTGTGCGTGCGTCTGGAGCTCCCTCCCTTCATACTTGTCCATCTCGATGCCCAGCGGGTTGCCAGGACCCAGGGAGAGCGGGGAGAGTCCTTTGTTGCGGTCCCTCCTGGTGTCGTAGTTCATCTCGTCCACCCACACCGCCGACTGCTCCAGGATACCTGCGGGCGGACGAGAACCCAACAACACATGTGTGCTCAGAGGGGCGCCGTGTCCTCGTTCAAACACTTCCAAATTTAAAATATTCATTTTGCAGACTGAAGACGTCAGCYCTGAGTGAAAACAAGGTGGTTTTTCCAAAACTAATCTTTAAAAACGTGAACCTGAACGGATTGTTTTTCTTTATTTTTTATTTTATCAACGAGTTACGACACATCTTCACCTGGTTATTCACAAAATAATAAGCAATAATTTTAGCTGAACTGCTCCTCCTGCTGCAGCCAAGCTCACAGGAACTTGTTTTATATTRTCCAAAATAAGAGTCTCAAACTCAGAAAGCAGACGCTGCAGCTAGTACCACTGGGAGTGGGTACATAACGGTATACTGGGTATGTATTGCATACTTATTAGGTACGTAATGATACTTATTTGGTGCATAATAGGTACTTGTCGGTTACATAATGGTTACTTAAGGGGTATGTAACACAGCAGATATAAAGCAACTTAACAGGTACGTATGGCCACTTATTGGGTTTGTTACAGTGGCTTAATGGGTACAAAATGTCCATTTATAGGGTTTGTAACAGCAGCCTAACTGGACATAATGGGTACATAACAGCCACATATTGGGTGTGTAACAGCGTCTTGGCATGTAACAATGACTTAAGGGTAAATAACAGTGACTTTACGGGTAGGTAATGGTGACTTAACGGGTAGGTAATGGTGACTTAACGGGTAGGAATGGTGACTTAAAGGGTAGGTAATGGTGACTTAACGGGTAGGAATGGTGACTTAACGGGTAGAATGGTGACTTAACGGGTAGGTAAAGGTGACTTAACGGGTAGGTAAAGGTGACTTAACGGGTAGGTAAAGGTGACTTAACGGGTAGGTAAAGGTGACTTAACGGGTAGGTAAAGGTGACTTAACGGGTAGGTAAAGGTGACTTAACGGGTAGGTAAAGGTGAACTTAACAGGTAGGTAAAGGTGACTTAACAGGTAGGTAATGGTGACTCAACAGGTAGGCAATGGTGACTTAACGGGTAGGTATTGGTGACTTAACGGGTATGTAATGGTGACTTAATGGTTATGTAATGGTGACTTATCAGGTAATGGTGACTTAACGGGTATGTAATGGTGACTTAATGGTTATGTAATGGTGACTTATCAGGTAATGGTGACTTAACAGGTATGTAATGATGACTTCTCAGGTAGGTAATGGTGACTTAATGGGTATGTAATGGTGACTTATGGAGTACATAACAGTATTTTATCTGGTCCTTGCCCTTTATAACCCTGCAGGCATCAAGTTGTAAACATTTAAAATAAATACAGTTGGATTTAGGAGAATAATAAATTCACTTTGTCTGGTTTATCCTCCAAAGACCTTTTTTAATCCAGCTTTATCTAGAAACAATAAACGACTTCCTATTTTTTATTCTATTTTATCAATACGAGAACATCTATGGAAAATAAAAACATTTGGCTGAAGTTGTACAAATTTTAAGAGGTTGTTACATCCTAAAACCTAAAAGTTTGGCTAACTTTAGAGCCAAAAGTGAAACTGAATATCCTGACCAACAGGGAAAAAAATCATTAATTTCACAATGATTGTAAGGTTATTCGAAAAAATTAAGTTATTTTTGCAATATCATGTGTTCACTACAGTGGACATAGGAACGTCCTACATGTGTAACTGAACCATGATGGTAATCAGTCAGTCCAGAAGAAAATAACAAAAAGTCTAAATTAAAATAAGTTTAACTTGACTGTCCATCATCACTTTTGTTTTGCTTATTTGGTATATTTGAAAAAGGCACACTGGCATTGCCCAATGAATGAACCATTTGCTCGTCAATGCACAGTCAGACATCCTATCAACATCTATCGTACACTACAACACACCATCTGAGTTTCCATCAACAATTTGAAGTTCTCTCTTAGAATGCCGCCCTTTCTTGTCATTTGAAGAAAAAAAAAAACAGAACAAAAAGAAGGAAAAAAACTACAAATCTCCACTACCATGGACATTTTTTTAAAATTTTAAGCAAAAATAAAGTTAAAATAACTCAATGTTTAAATGTGTTGTTTAGAGACATATAAAATATGGCAAAAACATTTCAAGCTAAAACTTGTTCAATAAAAAGTATAATGTTTTTACCTTTAAAATGTGCTTTAACTGGTAGAAATCATTGGAATGAGGAAGGAAGAGAAAGGTAGCGAAGCCCCTCCCCTACACGTGGTATCATTGAAAACGTCTAAATAAAAACTAGAAAAGTTAATAATAAAAAGAGATAACTTGTATTATTTTGTATTCTTATAATCTAAATTGTTTTTTTTTTATATTGAAATAGTGTTTGGTTGTTCCTAATGTTGACGAGATTTATTCTGGACCAAATGTGAAACTAAATTTAAAATATAATAAACGAGAAGTAAATTTATCGACTATTCCATCTACTCTCAGCAGGCTGGGCTGGGCCGGGCCGGGCCGTCACAAATGAAAGCATGCTGACATCTGGTCTCTGGGGTCTCACCGATCCTCTCCGGTTTGAGCAGTTTGAATGAGACCGTTGAGGTGCCCAGACCCCCGGACTTGGTGGTGACGATGATCTCTCCCTTGTCGTCTTTGGCAGGACCCACGCGGCACACGATCTTGCTGGCCGACATCCACTCGGCTGTCAGCATGCAGTTGTGGCCGCAGATCGACAGACCTGAGAAGGAAGGCAGAGGCAGAATAAATAAACAAACTGTGGCACGCACACACACGGGCCCAAAAAAAAAAAGAGGCGCTCTGTCAGACGGCAGCGACGTCTATCAGCAGGGGTCAAAGGTGGAGCTGGGGTCAGGATGGGTGTGGGTGGCCTTGATCTTCCTCCTCCTCACTCAGCTCCTTGAAGTTAATGCGTGCGACTCTTCAGTGCTAAGTGGCTCATTACTGGCACAACGTGCACTCTGCCCTTACATCTGTCAGCCTCTCTTTAAACCCGCCTGAAGAAGAAAGAGGCAGGGATTACTCCGACATCTCCGGCTGAGGAGGCTCGAAGCGCTTCACGCGTGTCATCAAAAACCCGACGGACAAATAGCCCATAAAAGCGTGAATAATACGCCCATTAGAGCCTCATTTCCTGCCTCTGTTCTCTGCAGGCCACTTGGTTTGAATACACAAGCACTCGCACACATTTGTGCATATCAAATCGTCTCAATCAAGGCCCCGGGGGGACGTAGACGGTCAGGAACAGACCGAGCTGCGAGACAAGCGAGAGTCTCGTGGATTCTTATCAGCTTTTCCACGGCAGAGAAGAAGTCTGTTTTTAAAATAAGTGTCAGAAACAAACCTGTAGTTTGGTTTTAAGAACACGGCTGTAATTATACACAAAGATGGAGACGTTACCGATCAGATCTGTTGGACCCGTGCCCAGGCTCTCTCCTCGGATGGTGACCTTGGTCCAGGCTGGCCCCTCCTTGGGCGAGATGCCCGTGACCAACGGCGGCTGGCGTGGACGCGACATGGCGAGCCGAGGCAGGTGGGAACTGTGGGTCTGCTGGTTCCTGGACACGGAGACACGACGAGAAAAACACAATCAATTTTAACAATTTTTACTGTAWTGGCCCAAGTGTTGTAAAACTSATAAATTACTCCCTTGGTTCTGGTTCTGTACCRRACTGCTTCAAAACAGCTGTTGTCTGTCCTCTGTTAAAAAAAGCCTAATTTAGACTCTTCTCTGCCCGAAAGATACAGACTGATCTCCAAACTACCAWTCTTTTTTAATCCATGAGAAGGTGGTAGCTGAACAATTGATTTGCTTTTTGGAGGAAAATGACATTATGGACATTTTTCAGTCTGGATTTCGCAATTTGCACTCTACAGAAAGAGCTTTATTAAAGGTTTCAAGTGACTTGTTGATGGCAGCGGACTCTGGAAACTACACTGTACTGGTTTTCCATCCATCCATCCATTTTCTTCCGCCTATCCGGGGTCGGGT